TTTGAATCAGGACTAAGTGTGAGGATTTGGAGCTGTGCAGGAAGCCCAAGGGCTGATTCAGGATGGAGCAGCCTGTGAAATGTCACCGAGTGGTGACAGAGAAGAGAGGAAGCACCAGAGCTTGATTTAAGTATTGATGGACAGTGAATGAGGAAGGAAAGGGAAAACAGACTCAAGAGGGCCAGGGAAGAAGGGAATTAACTCCTGCTACAGCCTGAGGGGAGCTCAGGCCAGAACCAGAGCAGGCAGCCAGAAAGGGAGGCTCATGCCTGAGGGACTCCAGAAAATAACACTGGAAAGGAGATTGAAATGCAGACACAAAGGTATGAACCAGCTCAGTCCAGAGAGGAACAGGAAACCAAGCAAGGTGCTTGCAGCTAGAGAATTTTAAGTTATAAATCAGCTTTCTGAATAAAGAGGGGTGCTGAAATCTGGGTAAAACAGCATTTGATTGCAGAGCAAATGAGAAAGAAGAGTGTTAGGTGAGCTTTACTAGGCAAAGCAATACAGCAGCTTCCTAAAAAACACTGCAATGACAGCAAATAAAGTTACTGAAGTGGTGCAAAATGGTCAGAAAATACACCAAGCTCCAAAATCGACTTCTTACATAAAGCACAGAAAGGAACAGGGGGGCTTTTATCCCAACCAACATTGCCCTGGGTAGAGATTGAGCAAAGCTGGCTTTTCCAATTTCTGCCCCTTGTATTTTTGATTTTCTTTCAGAAAGCCCATAATAAATTGACTCTATTCACAAGTTATTTCTTCACAAAATCTGTATAGGAATTACCTTTGCCCTCCATTTATAAGAGAACAAAGTGCACGTGCTGGAGTCACATTATTAACCATGGCCTTCAGTGCCTTGTCTACCTCTTCCCTTATAAAAGTGTTGGATTCCCCAGCTTTGTGCAAAAGGACTTTTACTGCATTATCTAGTTCTTGGTCCATGCTCTTTTTCAGGTGGGTGAACAAATCCCCTAAACACACCACAGCAGCTCGAGAAACACCTGAGCGTAAATTCTTGACCTGCACACAGGAAAGACCCAAAAAACAGTGAATAATGGTGATAAAATAGACTTCAAAATAAACAAAGCTTCATGTTTCCCTTTGTCATTTTTTAAGAAACGTTAAAAGCAACGGAGAAATACATTTTTAACTTGATTCACAACGGGTGAGAATTAAAATAGGTACCCATAAAAATGTTATAAAGTTACAATCTACGTGTTTTCAGTCTCTTTTGAGAGACTTTTTTTGAGGAAAACTCACCACAGTTGAACATAACAATTCACTTCAGAGAGCTATAGAATACATGTATACACACATATAGCCAGTGGAATGTTCTGATAGGAAAATTTAACCTCTTGAGCCACAGCCAAACTTGTTTCGTGGAGCTTTGCAGTCAGAACAGGGGCATGGTAGGCAGACAAGCACCTGACAAAGTTCAGACCCTCAATTTTCTTCTCCCTGGGTGCAAAAAAATAATATTTCAAGTCCAAACCACCTGCAGATTTTCATGACAGTATTAAAATTCTAAGAAATCAAACAGCAAACAAATTGGGGTTGTAAAATGAAGCAATGACAGTCATGGAGTTATGGAATGGTTTGGCTTGGAAGGGACCTCAAAGATCATATTTTAAACCCTTGCCATGGACAGGGACACCTTCCACTAGCCCAGGTTGCTCCAAGCCCCGTCCAACCTGGCCTTGGACACTTCCAGGGATCCAGGGGCAGCCACAGCTTCTCTGGGCAACCTGGGCCAGGGCCTCCCCACCCTCCAGGGAAGAAATAATGCAGGAAATCCTTTCCAAGTGAGCCTTTCCTTTAATGTGGGACTGTTTCAGCCCAGCAGGCTCTCAGCTCTGTCCCACAGTTCTGCTCCCAGCTTGCACTAGTGGCAATCAAAGGATCTCTTTCCTCCCCCAGACTGAAGGCAGCAGCACTGGAACCACATTCCAGTGTGAGAAAGCACCAGGAAGGTGCTTCTGCTCCACAGACAGCACCAGGAAGGTGTTGGTGGGGCCTCTCCAGAACAGTCCTTAAGCTCAGACACCTCTGCAGGTCTCTGCAGGCTCAGTTTAACCTCAGGCTGGGCTGCAAACCCCCCTTTCCCCCGTGTCCCTGCCAGCCCCCCTCGCTGTGTGTGACATCCCCCTCTGGCTGGGTTTGGGAGCGAGTTCCCCCCCCCAGCAGCTCGCAGACCCCCCGGGCTCGGTGTGCACCCACCAGTCGTCGTCAGCCAGCAGTGCCAGGGCCTCTGCCAGGGCCGTGTCGGGCCTGGGGAAGGGCTGCAGCTCCGAGGGGTCCAGCACCTCGGGGCTGTGCGTCACCTGCTCCTTGGGCCGGCCCCGCGCGCCCGGCGCCGCCTCCTCTGCGGGCACAACATCCACAGGCAGTGACAGCACCCCCGGGGCTCCAGGGGGCAAAACCAGCAGCTGTGAGAAGCCTGAGGTAGAGAGGGCTGCTACAGGGAGCGGGTTTTCCAAGAGACGTGGAATCGTGGAATGGTTTGGGTGGGAAAGGGCTTAAAGCCCATCCAGGGTCACCCCTGGCACACCTTCCACCAGCCTGGCCTCGAGCACTTCCAGGGGTGGGATATCCTCAGTGACTTGGTTTCATTCATAGAGATTACTTTTTTTGCACACAACCACCGCTATAAAGAGTCACAAACACAAATGCAGTGGGTTGTTTAATGTAAAAAACGAGGCACAGTGTGCTAAAACACAGCCTTTAAGAGCCTCTTGAGAAATCCTGGACCACGATCAGCAGGAGCTTCTATTCTCAAAGTCTTTCTACTGCACATTTTAAAGGCAACTCAGTGCCCAAACAGACCAAGAAATGATTTTTCTGGGGACAGAAGGGACTCCATTTGTCATTAATATATTACATTATTCAAGTTGCTGAACAAATAAAAACCCTCTGATGTTTAAAACACCTTCCTAACAGATTATAGGTGAAAAATGATTAATTGAATCCCCAATGATGAATTAAATCCCCTCCACCACCACAGTATTGGTGCTCCAGAGCACCTCAGGACTGTCCCTTGCACAAATAAATTGCATTTTGGTGCTCTCCCACTCCACATACCCAAATTTTACTGTCCCAGCTTACCAGAATCCAGCAAGGGTGAACACTTTGACCTCTTCAAACTGGATGTTCTTCTCAGAGAAGGATTCAAGGCCACATTTTCTAAGGACAAAGATCCGTTTCTTGGCGATGTTAAAATATCCCCACAGAGATTAAACCCTAGAAACGTCCAGATCACAACAACAACAAATCAGAACACAGTTACAACCCAGTATTTCCACTCCTAATGCCCCTTCCAGCAGCATTTAACAGTGGATATTCATTTAAGACAAACCCTCATCCTCACTTTCTGCTGTCAGTCTCTCTGGTTCACTCATACTCAGTCTAAGCCCTTCCCAAGGGATCTCTTCCTTCCCTTCCAGGTCTTTGCCTTCCTGATGCTCTTTGTGATTGAGTTCTTTTTCTTCTTTTCTCTTCCTCCTCAGCTTATCCTGGGCAGATTTTGACATGGTCACTTTTATCTGCAAAAAATTCATGCACAGGTTACCCAATAACTCACCCCCCAGTTCCTGATGTTGGCAAGGTCAGCATGGAAAATCTGCATTTTCACCAGTGGGATCTGACCCTCTCTTGTGTTTGACACTTTTTGCTCCTTAGGAGTCTCAGCAACTTTTACTACATCTCTCCCTTTACTCCTTTCAATTTGATCCCCCCCAAGGATTCACATCTTCAGTGGAAATGGGAAAATTCAGACACTTTTTATCATTAACTTCAAGTTTTAGTCATGGTAAAATGTTATTTTAAAGGCTTGCAGAACTGAGTTTCATGTCACACTTCACTCAGGTAAATCTCACTCCATTCACAGCTGTAAATAGTATTTAACAAACAGCAGATTATGGGCAGATATTCAGATGGTTTGTAAAATATCCTAAGAATGGAGTTTAATACACCCCTGGAGAAAACCAGACGTGATCCAACCCAGCCCATCCCTCATTCCACACCTCCATGTGCTGTGGGAGTCACAGAGCATGTTTTCCAGCTCCATTCCCTCATTCCACACCTCCATGTGCTGTGGGAGTCACAGAGCATGTTTTCCAGCTCCATTCCCTCCTGCAGCCCTTGTCCAGAGACTCTTTCTGAGTTAAGTGGGAAGCTTCTGACGGGGCAATTTGCCATTGTAAAATATCCAGATGGAACCAAAAGGAAAATCAGGGAGCAGCAGCTGGATGGTCTGGGCTGTTTAATGCAGCTCTTGTTCCCCTGACACAGAGCCTGTGACTGTGTCCAGCTGGACTCACACCCCTAAGAGCAGGATGAGATGGGATCAGAGCCCTGCAGTTCTCACCTCTCTGTCCTTGTCAGCATGGACATGGGAAGCACTGTTCTGCTGGAAGCTTCTCCCAGGGATCCCTGGGGATGGCTCAGTCTCCTCCCTGACCCCCTGGTCATCTCCATTGGCCACACAGGGCAGGGACTGGCTGTGAGCACGGGCAGGGGGGCTCCCAAAAACACCTGCAAGGCAGAGCAGGGGATCACAGATGGTCTGGCTTGGAAGGGACCTTAAAGTTCATCCAGTTCAATTCCTCTGTCATGAATGGAATTGTCTATCCAGGGACTGCAACCCTTTCGAGTACATTTCTTCATATTCCCATTAAACTGGCAATTGTTCACCATCTAAAACCTTGCATGCAGTTTATTTTTCTTCTCCCACTCTATAAAGGCACGTTTTCCCTCAGTTCAAAAGCTCAGTGAGATACAGGAGGTAACTTTGGGTCTGTATTACCTTTACCAACAACCACCACGGTGTCCCCAGACAGGAAACCCAGATCGTCCATCGGTGCAAAACCAGGCACGGGCTCTGCAAGGCCTGGAGGGACAAACATCACCCACTGTAAGTCATGGGGATGCTCTGGGACGTGTTTTGTGACATTCTGGAAGAATACAATATCTTAATTGATCACTCTCTTGAACCAGTGCATTGTCAAGTTACTGAAGCCAACAGGATTTATTAAATACTCCTCTGAAGGATCTTCACATCACACTGACATGAGCCCTCTGGAGCCAGGCTGGGAGAGCTGGGGGGGTTCCCCTGGAG